AATGGTGCCCCTTGTCAGTTACCTTGTGGTAATTTTGTTTTTTTTTTCCATGGAAAAAAAACAAAATTACTTTCCGAACAACCCAATAAATTTTCTGTAGTCTGGGTGATAGTTGAAGAGGCAGAAGACCAATAAATATTTTATTCAATTATATATTGACCATTTTGGTCAAATACCTGTTGTCATCATTTCTGGTAGTAGCATGATTTCATATTCATAAAAGTTTTGATCGTTGCTTACAAAAAACTGATCCAAGTGATTTTGACATTGTCATTTCAAGTAAATGTCTTACAGTTAAAAAAAATTTGTATAGACCAGAACAAGTAATAATCTGAGTGTGCTCGATCTGGCAAATATGGTTGGTGTGATAGCAAGTCCCATCTAAGTTATAACAGTTTCTGACAATATACCAAACTTGTGTGAAAACACTACACCTGTTTCGTTGATCAATTCTGGCTGCCTTTTCTATTTGATGATATTACTCAATTTGTTTACTCGATGGCAGTGCACTTTCGAATCAATTGTTAAATTGTTTGGTAAAAGCTCCAAAAAAAAAAATTTCTTAAAATCCCACCAAAGAGAGCATCTCACTTTAAGAACATGTGGAACCCATATATCGAGCTTCGAAACGAAACCAATTTGTTTCAAGTAATCATAAACAGTTCAATTTGACCAATTTAATCTCTTAGTGATTTCATGTGTTGTTATTTGGCAGTTTGCTTCAACCAGTACCTTTATTTTGTTTTCATTGGCTTCAACTGGCCATCCAGAACATGGTGCATCTTCAATATTGAAATTGCCAGAACGAAATTTTGTAAACCAGTTTTGGCACTGTCTCTCTCAACACATCATCTCCATACACAATTTTTTTCTTGCTTGAACAGCATTTTGACTTTTTGGTAATAAAAAAGCAAAATATGCCGAAAATGATGCTTTCAATCTTCCATATTTGATGGGACACAAAAAATAAACAACTGCACAGAATCAAACAAAATTTTTTATAAATAAGCCTTAAAATGCTAGCTGTCAAAATATATAATGATAATATGGTTTAGAATGAAAATGGCGGGAAAAATATGACTAATCCATCTAGTGGTAAAAAAAACGAACTTACTTTCTGAACAACCCAATACAATTGCTTTTTTTTTTTTTTTTTTTTTTTTAATTTGTGGTTTTAGGCCCATTGCCGCTCAGAGNTTTTTTTTTTTTTTTTTTTTGAGGAAAAATGGCATATTATAATTGATAAAAACTCATACAGCATAAATACTTGCACCTATAGCAAAATTACCACAGAACTATCCTATCCTGTTGCCTATCTCCCCTAAGTGGGACAAGTTAGTATTAATCAAGTGTCATCTCTATCATGCTGACTATTTTCAGCTAAATGTTGGTTAGAAACAGACACAAACATTTGCATCATTAAATAATTTTATTTCTTTTGCTGGTTTTGGGTATATTTGTATGTTTTTATTCCATAAAACCAGTTTTTGAAGAAGTAAATGTGATAATACACTATTGACCGTATCTAAACGTAAACAAAGCCTGGGGCTAGTCACGTGATTGGACCTAGTTGAACTTCCGGTAGAACGTGAACGGTGTGTTAATAGTTGATGCGAAAGACGTCATGTGTATCAGTTACAATCATTTCTGTTCTGAAAAATGTCCAGCGAATATTATAAAGGTTTAGATGAATTAAGCAGGTATAGGTATAAGCAAAAATTAATGTTCAACAAGCAAGAACTGCCCGATCCAATGGATGACGATTTAGCAAAAATGTTATTTCACGATAACGTGAAAGCATGGCCTAAGATCACGTTAGTAGATCTCTATGCCTACTTTGTAGACCAGCTCTGCTTTTACACAAAACAACAACTGAAAAATTATACTTCACTTGAGAGGATGAGAGCGACATCCCGGGGTGCACAGCACAACTTGCAGAGATGACCAGTTGTACCTGGGTGAATCTTGACTGGACGGGATAGCAAACAAATCCNAACGTTACATTATCTATATTTTTCTTGCATGAAATAAGTAGCTTTGTTTTCTTATAATTCATCTGAAGTCCATATAATTTACTTATTGAATTAATCTTTTCCATTAGTATTGTCAAATCATTTATATTTTCTGCTAAAACCACTGTATCGTCAGCATAACATATATTATTTATATTCATCCTATTTATTACAATCCCAATGTGTTCCATATTTTCTAAAGCTTCTTTAAAAATTTCATCTGAATAAATATTAAGAAGTAAAGGTGATAAAATACATCCTTGCCTTACTCCTCTTTTTATTTCTATTTCTTCAGATAATTCAGAATCAATTAAAATGTTGGCCTTTGTTCCCAGTAAAGATTTGTTATAATTTGCAATTCATTTCTATCAATTCCTTTCTTCCTAAGTATATCTATTAATTTATCATGCAGAATTCCATCAAATGCTTTTTCGTAGTCTATAAAACAGGCGTATATATCCTTGTTATCCTCTAAACTTCTTTCTACCAGAACTCTATAAGCAAAAAGAGCTTTTCTTGTTCCACAAGATTTTCTAAACCCAAACTGTGTGTTGCTTAAATCTTCTTCACATTTTTTATATATTCTTGTATGAATTATTCTTAAGAAAATTTTTAAAACGTGACTCATCAGGCTTATAGTTCTATAATCACCACACTTTTTTGCATTATCTTTTTTGGGAATTGCTATAAACGTAGACATTAAAAGATCTTGAGGAATTACACCACTTTCGTAAATAATGTTGTAAAAATCCACTAAAATATCAAGACTATCTTCATCCAGTAATTTCAAAATTTCAGCGGGAACTTCATCTGGTCCGGTAGCTTTACCTTCTTTAGTTGTTCTAATTGCATTCTTTACTTCTACTTTTAGTATTGTTGGTCCTTCTTCTTTATCAATTATTATAGGTTTTAAATTTCTCTCATCAAAATATAATTTTTCAACATACTCTTTCCATAATTTCAGTTTTTCCCCCAATTCCAAAACTAAATCATCCTTTTCATTTAAAATACTAGTAAATTTATTTCTTCTATTTGTTCTGGTAAGCTCTTTAATTTTCTTATGTACATTATAC